GGTGGGAGAACTGCTTGAGCCCAGGAGTTTGAGACTGTAGTGAACTATAATCATGCCACTGCACTCCATCCTTGGGGATAGAGTGAGACCCTGTCTCAAAAAAGTAAAAAAATAATAAAAATTATAAGCAAAGTAAAAATGATTGTACATAATTCACTAAGTGATTGTGCACCCATACCTTGTAAAGCCTTGTAACTGTGATAAAAGATGTTATCGCTGGGCATGGTAATGCTGTCCTATAGACCCAGCTACTCAGGAGGCTGAGACAGGATAATCACTTGAGCCCAGGAGCTGGAGGCTGTAGTGTGCAACGATGGTGCCTGTGAACAGCCACCGCACTCCAGCCTGGGCAACATAGCGAGACCCCATCTTTTTAAAAAAAAAGAGAGATTTTGGTAGCATTATTCACTGGGTTAGGAGAAAGTTTATAGTATGGTGAGTGGGGAGGAGAAGCAAGTTTATGCTGTATTAAGACTCTTTTTCTTTTTTTTTCTCAAGCCAGTCTTGCTCTGTCGCCCAGGCTGGAGTGCAATGACGTGATCTTGGCTCACTGCAGCCTCCACTTCCTGGGTTCAAGTGATTCTTCTACTTCAGCCTCTTGAGTAGCTGGGACTACAGGCAGCTGCCACCATGCCCGGGTAATTTTTGTATTTTTAGTAGGGATGGGGTTTCGCCATGTTGGCCAGGCTGGTCTTGAGCTCCTGACCTCAGGTCCTCAGGTGATCCACCTGCCTCGGCCTCCCAAAGTGCTGCGATTACAGGCGTGAGCCACCGCACCCGGCCTATTATGACCCTTTTTCACACAAATATATGTTGATATTGTGGCTAGTCATATAGATGATTTTCTTTTTCTGTATTTTCAGAATTCCCTGTAGCGAATATAAATTTTGTATCAACAACACAGAACTATTAAATATAAATGAGGTATCAGAAAAAAGTGATGATAAACCCAAAAATTGGCGTCAGTGCTATATGAAACTGTGCATCAGATACATTGCCACGTCCTTTTTGAAAGCAGTGAGGCTCCAAAAAAAACCTGTAAAAGTAATGGTAGGTGTGGTGGCTCACGCCTGTAATCCTGGCACTTTGGGAGGCCGAGACAGGTGTATCACTTGAGGTCAGGAGTTCAAGACCAGCCTGGTCAACATAGTGAGACCCTGTCTCTACCTAAAAATACAAAAAATTAGTTGGGTATGGTGGCACATGCCTGTAATCCCAGCTACTTGGGAGGCTGAGGCAGAAGAATCGCTTGAACCTGGGAGGCGGAGGTTGCAGTGAGCCAAGATTAAGCCAGTGCACATCAGCCTGGGCAACAGAGCGAGACTCCATCTCAAAATAAAATAATAAAATAAGATATGATAAGATAAAATAACATAAAAGAATCAGACCAGGCACAATGGCTCACACCTATAATCCCAGCACTTTGGGAGGCCCAGGCCTTGCAGTGGAGCTTGCAGTGAGCTGAGACTGCACCACTGCACTCCATCCTGGGTGACTCCACTGCAGGTGGAGCTTGCAGTGAGCTGAGATGGCACCACTGCACTCCATCCTGGGTGACAGAGTGAGACTCAGTCTCAAAAAATAAAATAAAAATTAGCCAGCATGGTGGCATGTGGCTATGGTCCCCAGCTACTTGGGAGGCTGAAGTGGGAGGATCGCTTGCACCTGGGGGTTCAAGGCTGCAGTGAGCTATGATTGTACTACTGCACTCCAGTCTGGGTGACACAGCAAGACCCTGTTCCAAAAAAAAAAGAATAGAAATAAAAGATGCAAAACTAAATGTCCAGTATTTGGGAAGTGATTAAATGAATCATGGAAATATTAAGCAACCATTAAAAATGTTGATGGGGTACCGTGGCTCACATTTGTAATCCCAGCACTTTGAGAGCTGAAGCAAGTGGATCCCTTGACGTCAGGAGCTTGAGACCAGCCTGGGCAACGTGATGAAATCCTGTCTCTACAAAAATTAGCTGGGTGTGGTGATGTGCACATGTGGTCCCAGCTACTCAGGAAGGCTGGGGTAGGAGGATCACTTGAGCCCGGGAGGCGGAGGTTGTAGTGAGCCGTGATTGTGCCACTACACTCTAACCTGGGTGACAAAGCAAGACCTTGTTTCAAATTAAAAAAAAAAAAAATTATGTAATATATGTAATAGTAAAGTGTTTGCAGTTACATCGAAATTATATCTGAAAAATGAAGGAAAGGACACAGGGACCCATAACTGCAGTTGATTTACTCCAGAGGTAAGATTGAGTTATTGGCCGGGCGCAGTGGCTCGCACCTGTAATCCCAGCACTTTGGGAGGCTGAGGCAGGTGGATCACAAGGTCAGGAGGTTGAGACCATCGTGGCTAACACACTGAAACCCTGTCTCTACTAAAAAATACAAAAAATTAGCCGAGTGTGGTGGCGGGCGCCTGTAGTCCCAGCTACTCGGGAGGCTGAGGCAGGAGA